ACATTGAGTTGTTACTTTCCGCATGTCCCATCTTCCAGACAAGGATTGTCTGGCGACAGTGGTCTCTTTGAAGTGTTGGAGGGCAAACATGTGAATGACTTTCAAGATAAACAAGATAATGGAATGCAGTGGTGCATTGCAAGACGTGGGAGTTCGTGGCTTCGTGCTCAAATACTACAGTATAACTGCGACTACCGCTGATGATTGCACACTCGCATTCCTTACCCCATGTGGATGGAACGACGCCAAATGGCTAATGTGGTACAGTACTTGTAGCAATCGCTACGGAACTTCAAGATACAATTCAGGACACAGGTACCGGTAGTAACGTTATGCATTTCTCGATGACCAAGTTGCTGACTCCAGTGTGATTGGCCGTCCCACCATTCTGAGCATGGTGTGATTTCCATCATTGTTTCTGCATCGTACTATTCTTTTTACTACAGTAGTACTAGTAAGTAAGTATACCATAGTCAGCTAAAGTTTAAACACAATCCAGAAAGCGTATCAAATAGGCAATTCTGACGACGTACACACAGTACTATATAGTTGTGCCCCAATGTGGATGCAAATGAAACCCACGCCGCCCCCCTACACACGAGCCCCCCCAAATCTTGCTCTCATTATTGAGATTGATTGATGAAGACAATTGCCATTCTCGCGCTTGCCTAGACGGCTGCAGCATTTGCCGCGGAGGATACCGCTGCCTTGGTACAAGGCCCCGACAGAAAACTCCGCACCGACGCCCAAGTCCAAAACGACGCGGACGTCAACCGCGAGTGCCACACGGCCAACGACGGGTACATCCAGACGTTGAAAGCTGGCGAGTACACGGCCAGCAAATTCTACAACTGTTTCCGCACGTCGGAGCAAATCTTCGAGTACGTGGATGAGTTGGCGAAACAGAACCCAAAGTTGTTGACAAAAGAAGCGATTTCTACGATGATCCAAGGCAAGACTATCTACGCGTACAAATTGACCAGTGGCACGTTCAAGCCCACGTCGCTGTACTTCAAAAGTCTGATCCACGCCCATGAATGGAACGCGGGGTCGTCCAACTTGTTTACGTTGTCTTCGATTCTGGACGCCATTGTCAACGGGAACGAGACGGCGGCGGACTCGCACAACTTGTACTTTGTACCCATAGTCAACATTGACGGGTACGACATCTCGTGGAACGGCAACCGGTTGCAGCGCAAGAATGCCAACGAAGTGGATTTGAACCGCAACTGGCCGACTCCCTTCAAAAACCCCAACCCCCCTGCCCGCGAGGCCGAAGATTACCCTGGCCCGAGTCCATTCAGCGAGCCAGAAACTAAGGGGATTGATGAGTGGCTCCATGCCAAGAATTCTGAACTCGCCGGCTGGGTGAACTTCCAATCCAATTCGGGTGCGATCTGGTACCCTTATGGCGACACGAAGGAACGCATCGGCAACGGCGAAGACGAAAAGTTTAAATTGCTCGGCTACTATGTTTCGATGGCAACCGGTGCTGGGTACCGCTCCCGGCCGAAGGGTGTATTTGGGGACCTTGAGTTCGGGAGGTTCGAAGACTACGTCTACCGCACGTACAAGAAACCCGTGTTCACCATCGAAGTGAGTGGCGGGTCTAACGCCCCCGCGTCGACCATTCGTACCACCGGCACGGAAATCTTCAATGCGTCGAGTCGATTTGCCGAGGTAGTCGGGGATTTCGACGTCAACAGTACAGCGTGTTAAGCGGATCCGTGCACCAACTTCTCACTAACTACTCCCGTAGCAACCCTAACTCCCTCCTCATTGAATTCAACTTTTTCAAAACCCTCATCTCCAACTTCTCCCATGTGATATATACCGGTATATAAACCACCGCACATTCTTCCTCTCATACACCCACAACCCGCGCCATTATTTACCAAAACGATCCTAAACAGCTACAGTATACATACTCAGCAGCTCGTTCACCCCTCAAAACGAGTTGGCGTTCCACAAAATCGTGCAACGGTGGACATTACATGAGTGCGTCCAGTGTCGTCCACAAGGTATAGAAGAAATTCACATAAGTCAGTGCACCGATATTCTAGACGGTGTCAGATCACAATTTTGGTCAATTTTCAAACCCTCGCAGTTGGCTCTGTGAGGTATTTTTGGTAGTCCTCCAGTACTGCTTCGCTGTCAAGGCTGATTTTTCACATGTACGAGCATGATTTGATTACTGTATAGTATAATTCGAGGAGAATAGTATAATTCCATAGCACAAAAATGACGTGATGATTTGTACTTGAAGTAAGTCAAATTTACTGTTACACGAGTAGAATTTTGAGTTTCTTGATTATCAAATACTACTACAGTAAGAGCCTATGCCGACCAACTCGATGAGAATGACCAAGAATGGACCAAATAAATAATTCACATCATATCGTGAGTAGTAAGAAGATTCTGTCTTATTGGTCAAAATTGCAACCAATCATATGAAATTTACGGCCTCCATCTGGGGATAACAATATCACAACAACACTTCATACTATTTATATAGGCGTTGCTTGTATTACAATGCACGACGCAACTTTCACGCTGCATTTGCATGCTGGGATGGCTCTCGTTGGTGTTGTGCAATAAACTGTGCAATCTCATCGTGTCCATGCTGTGCAGCTAAGTCACTTGCGGATTTTCCAGTAAGATACTGATCAAAAGTACAAACACAAGTCAATCCACGGCTCAATGAGGGAAGATTGTGTGTAACAACTACCTCGGTGGGCTGGTGGAAATTGCATCCCCGGGCGTGTAGGAATGTCACAGCTTTGAAATGTCCGTGCATTACCGCCACATGCAACGGTGTAAATCCGTTCTACAAGGAGGACCATCCATAATTGATAAAGTTTGAATCCTCGACCCAATAGCCTACAGTTAGACAGCGTTCATGAAGGGACATTCCAAGACCTTCCAGGCGTTGTAGCATTGTCCAGTGCCCCCCTCTAGCTGCCAAATGGACAGGAAACTCTCCGGCCTACGAAATATACCAATCATCATTGTTTTGCTTATGTTTGTTGCCCACACTCATGGAAGACTACTTACGTGATTCGGCGTCGACAACAACGGGATCAATTGATCTGGAAACTAATAGGCAGTATAGTAGTGTGGGTACTATGCAATACCACGCACAACCATTTGCACGTACGTGATGCAGAACGCATAACAGCACGTCCAGGTGGTTATGTCGCACAGCCCAATGCACCACCGAATTTCCAATCTATGCCAAATAACACACGAATACACGAATACAATTCAATTTGCAATCGCATTGAAACGAATCCTCACGTCGTCTGTAGCCGTGATTTCCGCTCCTTCTTCAAGTAAAAGTTGCAGCACTGCTAGTTGGCCCGTGGCGGCCGCATGAAGTAAGGCGCCGTTGACGATCGCCTGGTAACATGCAAGCCATTATTATTCCCATCATCTTTAATAGATTCTGGAAAAATATTGTCCAATTCGCTGAAATATGTGGATTTACTTGGCAGCTGATTCGAGAATTGAGTCCAGTATAAACGTACTGTAATCACTGTCAATGTATTGTATAGATGAACATATTGGACTGGGGCAAACTAAACTAAACGATGATTGGTTGAAATTTCTTGTACTTGTACTTTGATTGGCGAGGACATTCTCAAACATACGTATTTGCCAAATTCATTCGATTCTACTCGAAAGTCCAAATTGGACAATACAAGGCACAATATACCAGGGTGATTGATGTACCTGACGTAAGTCGCTTGGGCGAGTAATTCCAGCCAGTAAGATCCTCGTTGTAGCCAAACGACCGCTTTCCACCGCAGCATTTACAACCGAAAAGGTCACCAAGTGGGGCTGCGCCGACACGACATCGGCCACGAGTTGGTCGTGACCCCACTTGCTGGCAATTTCAAGATGGAATTCCGTGAGGATATAGGGATCCTTAGCCAACAATAATGCAGCCACAAGCTGTCGGTGGCCTTCTCGGATAGCGATGTGAAGGAGGTCAATGCCATCCTAACTTTGTACTTAATAAAACATGGGACGAGTAGTTTGAGCTTCTATACTAGTATACTGTACCGGCCGAGTAGCATACATGTCGGCGCCGGCTTGAAGTAAGAGCGTTACAATGTCCAATTGGCCATGATACGCTGCGACGTGCAGGGCCGTTGAGCCATCCTACAAGTTGCTGTTTAGCTATACACCCAAAGACTTAGTTCTGTGGATAATATTTCACGCACAACTGCGGTTGCGTCGAGGTCAGCGTTCGCGTCCAACAAGAGCTGGCACATCGTTTGGTCGCCCAAACTAGCAGCCACCATCAACGGCGTCGTGCCGGCTACGTCTGAAGCATTCACATTTGCTCCATTCGCAATCAAGTCTGTTGCAACTTGGACGGATCCCGAGGATGCTGCAATGTGCAGGGTGGGGGTGTACTGGTTCAAGGGGATAGTCTTGACAAGCCTGTCGTTGGTTAACGGCGTGTCTACACCACTCAAAGAGCAGTAGTGTCGTTACTATTACCGGTATTATGAGTTGCATACGTGAAGACTATTGGTACCAGGAACACCCCCAGCAAAAAGACGTCGGTGCTGTAGCGTTGTGGGTGGTGGCGGCTTGTTCTGACACTGCGAGATTGAGGTCGAACCGAATGGTCTTCTGGGGGTGCCTAGTCAACGATACGTCAAACGTTGTACCTGACATATGGCTACTACTACCTCCGCTGTTTCCTTGGAAGCCTACGAGGGCGGCCGCAACTAGCGCCAGTGGGCGGTGCACATGTCCTCGCATTGTTGCCCAAGGTTGTGAAAGGTCACGCGTTTTGATTCGACGAAAATCGTCGCATTTCTACTCCATGATTGGATGAAATGATCTAGTCGCCATTATTGCTGTGCCATTGAAGACACTATAGATCCATTCGACGCCATTAAGGAGATTTCGCAATGAACGATATCGTTCTCTTTCCGCTCAGGCGAAAAAACCTCTATGATCAAATTCCGGAACGACAAAACCTGTCTACAATTGATGCATATGACCGCAAAATGGCTGGCTGAACGATAGTCTGTCGTTCAAAAAACTCTAGCAATGCATCAACATGTATAA